AAGAAAGAAAGAAAGAAAGAAAGAAAGAAAGAAAGAAAGAAAGAAAGAAAGAAAGAAAGAAAGAAAGAAAGAAAGAAAGAAAGAAGAAAAAGCAGTATAAAGACCAAGCAGAGGGCACAGGCTTCCTGGAACAAGTGGGGTCTTACTTCTTAGTGGTAACAATAGTGCAACTTTCAGAAGGCTCCATAAGAGTAGCTGAAGAAAGGCCTTGAAGACATGACTCCAAAGTTTAAATCTGGCTCAAAAAGCATCAGTGATCACTCCTGTTTATCTGGGGTACTGCCTTTTTTGTGATTAGAGTAAAAAGTTTCTCTTATGGAGAAAACACACTGAGTGTCCCTTATCTTGATTTCTTGAGTCACTTTGCCTGAGATGAGCTCTCAGTCTATTTCCATATGTGAGTTCTTAACATGGATGAGCATGGTTCACTTTGCTTTCCTCTTTGCTATGTCTCCTCTCAAACAAAAAGATAATTTCTTGTATCCATTCTCACTTATGTATGCTCTTTTCTTAAAGTTTCCACAAAAAAAAAGCCAATAGTTGCCAGAATAGATAGATAATTGTGTATTGGTAAAATGTGTGAACAAGTTTCCTAGGGTAATCTACAGTAATTGGAATTAGGTACTCAGATAGCCAGAATATTGAGTTGTCTTTATTGGGATGCTTACTCATAGGCTAAGACTCACTACCTCTTAAAAGAACGTTTACCTGCTTTTAAGGTGACTAAGTCTTCAAGTATTAAGTGTTCAATTTTAGAACATTTCTTAAAATTGATGTTTATTTACTGAAGATTTAATTTGCTGACTTTTCACAAGTTTTTCTTTCATTACTCTTCATTAGTTCCCGCTACAAATCTTGAACCTGATACTCTTACAACTGAAGCTCCAGAAACCATGGGTAATGAGAATGTGTGTCCTTCCAATGGCGCTTTTCCTGCTCATTGTCATGTCATTGTAGTCACGGGCTCTCCTGCGTCGTAAAGAACATTTTATCATCCTCTGTTGTCATTCTATCATAATCTTTATCTTGAAGTTATGATAGGCTCTATATAAAGTTATTAAGTGAATTTAAGAGAACTGTGCATGAACTAATTTCAGGACTCAAACTCCCATGTAACTGCTCAACGTTGTGTCATGTGACTGTGTGCATTTGTTTAAACAACATCGCTTCACATGTGACTCTCCACCTGTTCCTTACTGACCCCACTTATCTTTCATCAAGTATAGAAATACCATGTTTCTTTGCTCATTTTACTTTGTATTGTATTAGAATCTGTGTGATATACCATTGTTTGAAAGGATGATGTTTTTAGTATATTGTCAAATTTTAAAATGTGCCCACTTTGTGGAAATTTGAATGATAGGCTTCCATGTTAGGGTAGACTGAGTCTTTCTCCTTCTCTAATAGGATTTACCAGTGTTTAGCTTTTATTGACTCAGGGATAATTTAAGATTTTGATAGGTGTAATTCAGTAGTTACATGTAGCTCCTGATGCTTTCAAACACATGGACTCCTCAGTGTACCATAATTATTCAAATAGTACACAAGAGCCGTAGACACCTATCTCAGTTTGTACGTAAGTGCAATTAAACTGATAATGCTTTTCTTAGTACAGTAGTCCCCTCACATCCATGGCCCAAAATTAGGTAAAAACAGCATAATAAGATTTTGAGAGGAAGATAGATAGTACATTTGTTTAACTTTTATTATATCAGTAGTATATTATTATAATTATTTTATTGTTACTAATCTCCTACTGTGCCTAATTTGTAAATTATTTGTATATATAGGGAAAAAAACTTCATCTATATATGGTTTGGTCCTATGCTCGGTTTGAGACATCTGCTAGGGGTCTTGGAATGTACCTTCAGTGGATAGAGGACGTCCTATACAGTTAGAAAAATGCATAGAATGTTCATGTGTAAAAAGCGTATCCAGTGGTCTTTCTAAAGTTGGCTAGTCAAACATCTAGGAATACATCTTGTTGACCATATAATGATTAGTGGAGTGCACTGCTATCTTAAAAGTCTTTCTTATGAGATTAATGCATCCTTGAAGAACACTAAAAGTCTCTTTTCTTCCTGTTTAGAAGCTAAAAAAAATCAACCATAAAAGTAGTCTACAAGAAAATTCTTAAAATCTCTTTGGTTTATTTTAATTTTTTTTTTGAGCAGTTCTTTCTACAGCCCTCGAAGCTGTCACTATTAGAATGGAGGCTCCAGAAACAACGTTAGGTAATAATATTCAGTATTCAACTTTTTTCTGCTTATTTTCAAACCTATGCCATCATCATCATAATCACCTCATCATTAGCTTCCTAAAACTACTCTCTGCTGTTTTTCGATTTCATATTGCTTCTTAAGAGTATTAAAGATGATTAAAGTAAGTCACCTATTGTTTTTAAAAGTTATCTCAGAATGTCTTTCTACCATGTAAGCATATATGAATTTGTATCATATACTTTTATCTAAACAGCATTCACATTTAAAGCTAAATTCCAAACACAGTTGATAGTGTGTTTATATCCTATGTAGATTCACTAAATTAAAACAATTTTTATGGTACCATGAAAATTTTTTTAACATATTGAAGTTTTCTTGAGTGAATAAGAACCTACCACTTGGGACCAGCAGATGGTGTAATGATTATGTTGCTGGACTCCCATGAAGCCAACCACAGTTCAGGTCCCAGACCCGGCATCTTAAAACTCACTATAGGCATGAGTGTGCGTGTGTGTTTGGGGGTAGGGAGGGAAGAGGGCAAAATCCTGAGTGGAGGATGGAGGAGAAGGGATTGCAGCATAGCCATCCCCCTGCCCAGGTGATTTCTCACTTTCTGTCTCTCTAGTGAGCACACATGCCTTAGAGCAAAAAATCTCTAAAAAAGAGAGAGAGAGAGGGAGAGAGAGAACCTACTACCCAGAGCTTGGCTATAGTTTTTTTATTTGTTTGTTTTTAAAGTTTATTTCTTTTATTCATGACAGAAAGCATGTATACCCATGGAGGGGCACTCTCGGTTAGGTTCTCATCACTCTGTATCCCCCTTCCCCAGCCTTCCAGCTCCTCAGGATCTAGGGCTTGTACACACTTGCCCAGTGTGGTTTCAAACCACCTTGGGAATCCAAACACACAGTTGGCCACATGTCTTCTAACATTGCAGTTCAGTTTGCTAGCAACTACATCACAAGGCTGAGTCTATAGTATTTTTTGAAGTTATAGTTTTATGAATCATTTCACTCTTTGACTTAATTGTATATGTTTTCTCTCTAAAAATATTACTGTTATATGAGAAAATATTTTAATCTTAAGAGATCAATGTCTTAAATTTCAAGAAAATATATCGTATCTTGGAAATCTACAGCTTTGTTTCCAAAGCCAGTAGCTCTAGAGTAATTCAGAGTTTCTTTCTTTAGCTCCTAAAACACAGCGAACACGTCGTCCACGTCCCAGACCTATAACCACAACGAGTTCTGCAGTACCTCAGCCCAAATCGGGTAAACGTGTAATTCTCAGGTTTGAGGGGTGAACTCTAGCAGCCTGTTACACTGGGGTCCCAAAGCATTACCTGTGATTAGAAATAAGTCGTCATGTTCTGTAATAGTCAAGTCACAGGATGTGATTAGCAACTGTGTCCCCTGCAGAGCTGTTCAAGAGTACAAGGTCCAGAAGACACGTGTGCCAGCTGTTAGATGATTTGGTTTGGATAAAGTTCGTGTCTGTCCTTAAAGATGTGCTTTTAGGAAGATTGGTATAATCGTTCATGGTTATTTAGTACTCTTTTGGTATTGAAATATATAATATATTTATTGTAGTCATGATTACATAAACAGGTATTTTTTTCAACTTCCAAGAAATGCCCTGTTACTTTCCCATATAGTTTTTCATGCATATTGCCTAAACAGATTTCCAAAGCAAACTTCCATATTAGTTAGAATCAAAATATCAAATTCCAAAAAAAACCCTGCATGGACTGGTATGATGTTAGGCAGAGTTCAAATATTGTGACTACCATCTGTGATCAGTTGTTTTCTTCTGATTAATATGGCCAAAAGGAATAACTTTCACCTGTCAATTCCAAAGTTTAAAAAGACAGTTTGTCATTTGAAACTCTTATTTTGAAAGAAAAATGTAAGATTTTTCATGTGTGTTGAAGCTTTCTTGTGTTCATGCTGTTGCTTTTGGTTAGTTCCTGCTCCAGGTTTTGAACCTGTTGTTCCTAGTACTGAGGCTCCAGGAACAACATTAGGTAATACTTTCTGTGCTTTCATTAAATGGTTTTTCTTGCTGGTTAAAAAATCATGTTCCATCATAGTCATAGCCAAAGTTGCTTCTGTCTTTGTCAGACTGTGGTTGTTATTCCATTTCTTCATTTTTTAAGTAGTCAAGAGTCTTATTTTAAGGATTATCTGCTCCTTTTTTTTTTTTTTTAAATTTTGTTGTTGTTATTGTTGTTGTTTTGAGAAGGTTTTGCTATAGGGTGAGTGCGCTCGCCAGAAAGACAGAGAAACAGAAAGCGAGAAATCACCCCCAGGGGGGATGGCCACGCCGCAATCCTTTCTCCTCCATTCTCCTCTTGGGATCTTGGGCACGCACGCACATGCTCCCAGTGTGAGTTTAAGCCACCAAGTCCAGGACTTGAACTGCAGTCAACTACATGGGAGCTCAGCGACATAGCCATTACGCTAACTGCGGTCCCCAGGATTATCTGCTGCTTTTAACAGATGTCCCTGGATCCAATGAAGGATATCTATCTACCATGAAACCCTCTTTAAAATTATACCATATGTTTAAAGAGGGCAAAATCCTGAGTGGAGGATGGAGGAGAAGGGATTGCAGCATAGCCATCCCCCTGCCCAGGTGATTTCTCACTTTCTGTCTCTCTAGTGAGCACACATGCCTTAGAGCAAAAAATCTCTAAAAAAGAGAGAGAGAGAGGGAGAGAGAGAACCTACTACCCAGAGCTTGGCTATAGTTTTTTTATTTGTTTGTTTTTAAAGTTTATTTCTTTTATTCATGACAGAAAGCATGTATACCCATGGAGGGGCACTCTCGGTTAGGTTCTCATCACTCTGTATCCCCCTTCCCCAGCCTTCCAGCTCCTCAGGATCTAGGGCTTGTACACACTTGCCCAGTGTGGTTTCAAACCACCTTGGGAATCCAAACACACAGTTGGCCACATGTCTTCTAACATTGCAGTTCAGTTTGCTAGCAACTACATCACAAGGCTGAGTCTATAGTATTTTTTGAAGTTATAGTTTTATGAATCATTTCACTCTTTGACTTAATTGTATATGTTTTCTCTCTAAAAATATTACTGTTATATGAGAAAATATTTTAATCTTAAGAGATCAATGTCTTAAATTTCAAGAAAATATATCGTATCTTGGAAATCTACAGCTTTGTTTCCAAAGCCAGTAGCTCTAGAGTAATTCAGAGTTTCTTTCTTTAGCTCCTAAAACACAGCGAACACGTCGTCCACGTCCCAGACCTATAACCACAACGAGTTCTGCAGTACCTCAGCCCAAATCGGGTAAACGTGTAATTCTCAGGTTTGAGGGGTGAACTCTAGCAGCCTGTTACACTGGGGTCCCAAAGCATTACCTGTGATTAGAAATAAGTCGTCATGTTCTGTAATAGTCAAGTCACAGGATGTGATTAGCAACTGTGTCCCCTGCAGAGCTGTTCAAGAGTACAAGGTCCAGAAGACACGTGTGCCAGCTGTTAGATGATTTGGTTTGGATAAAGTTCGTGTCTGTCCTTAAAGATGTGCTTTTAGGAAGATTGGTATAATCGTTCATGGTTATTTAGTACTCTTTTGGTATTGAAATATATAATATATTTATTGTAGTCATGATTACATAAACAGGTATTTTTTTCAACTTCCAAGAAATGCCCTGTTACTTTCCCATATAGTTTTTCATGCATATTGCCTAAACAGATTTCCAAAGCAAACTTCCATATTAGTTAGAATCAAAATATCAAATTCCTAGAAAAACCCTGCATGGACTGGTAAGATGTTAGGCAGAGTTCAAATATTGTGACTACCATCTGTGATCAGTTGTTTTCTTCTGATTAATATGGCCAAAAGGAATAACTTTCACCTGTCAATTCCAAAGTTTAAAAAGACAGTTTGTCATTTGAAACTCTTATTTTGAAAGAAAAATGTAAGATTTTTCATGTGTGTTGAAGCTTTCTTGTGTTCATGCTGTTGCTTTTGGTTAGTTCCTGCTCCAGGTTTTGAACCTGTTGTTCCTAGTACTGAGGCTCCAGGAACAACATTAGGTAATACTTTCTGTGCTTTCATTAAATGGTTTTTCTTGCTGGTTAAAAAATCATGTTCCATCATAGTCATAGCCAAAGTTGCTTCTGTCTTTGTCAGACTGTGGTTGTTATTCCATTTCTTCATTTTTTAAGTAGTCAAGAGTCTTATTTTACGGATTATCTGCTCCTTTTTTTTTTTTTTTAAATTTTGTTGTTGTTATTGTTGTTGTTTTGAGAAGGTTTTGCTATAGGGCGCGTGCGCTCGCCAGAAAGACAGAGAAACAGAAAGCGAGAAATCACCCCCAGGGGGGATGGCCACGCCGCAATCCTTTCTCCTCCATTCTCCTCTTGGGATCTTGGGCACGCACGCACATGCTCCCAGTGTGAGTTTAAGCCACCAAGTCCAGGACTTGAACTGCAGTCAACTACATGGGAGCTCAGCGACATAGCCATTACGCTAACTGCGGTCCCCAGGATTATCTGCTGCTTTTAACAGATGTCCCTGGATCCAATGAAGGATATCTATCTACCATGAAACCCTCTTTAAAATTATACCATATGTTTAATATTAAATTCAAGATCCAAATTGCTCTTTTTGCTATTTACATCTAAAAAGCTACAGCAGCTACATACCATGAACTTCCACTGAGTAACTTTCTATAAGATTGGTGTGCTATTCTCATTACTCTTTTCCTATTTTAAACAATAGAGTATTCCTATGATTTTAAAAAACAAAGTTGTTTTCTGGAATGTCCAGGCTCTTCCAGGATCATTTCTTACCTATCTTCTTTACCATTTTTAGCAATGGCTTTAGTAAGTGGGGATCCTTCTGACCATCTATGTGTATTTATATGTATTCTCTTAATTGGCAATTTATATAATTTTAATCTCCAAAAGAACCCTCATTGATAATAGAGACAGATTATCAAAGTAATTTTTTTTTATATTTAGGAAATAAACTTAAGAAATTCTAACCTGTTTTAGGAAACACAGTTCCACATACAATTCTATTTGTGATTTTTTTAAACCCAAAGACAACCAAAGATCTTCCTTTGGCTTCAAAAAACTAAAAAACAAACAAACAAACAAACAATAAAACCTCCATCTACCCATCCAAGTCTTGAACTTCCTGGAATTTTTCAGTTTCCAACTTGAGGAGCCCTGTCAGCCATGACAACTGGTCCTCAGGAATGAGAATGGCAGGGCGGGTCATTAGGTTTGTACTTGAGGGAGGTCTGTGTTGCAGCTATATCTATCTCGTGCCTTGCATGTGGACTGTCTGTGACAAAGCATGCATCTTATTCAGTTCTTTTATTCCATGTCGGTCATCAGTTTTTAAGTTTTGCTAATGTAAAGAAGCCTTCCCTGCTCTGTGCATCCCCACATATTAACAGTCGAGTGTTTCAGGGTAAGGAATAAAGGCAGAGACCAAAAGGAAAGGTTTATTTCCCTCTTAAACAGCATGCTATGTAATGATGAAGGAGGCCTGTTCCCAAGGTTTTCTGGAAATAGGGCAATTTATTTATGTAAAAGCTACATGTTGAATTGAGTGGTAAAAACAGAAAATATTTAAAGGAGACAAAGGTCAATGTGAACTGATGAGAGAATAGTTGGGCTCCCTATAGGATTTAGATTAGTTAGTAGAAGAAGGAAAAGGGCAAAAATGAAAAGTCTCAATAGTTGTTGAAGGTAGCCAAGGGGATGGTCAACCTAGAACATGGAAAAGACATCCCTAGATGATACTCAACATTTTGTTGATATTACTATCATGAAATCAGTGAATAGGAAGCTCTTCAAAAGCATTCATGGAAATTAAGATTCAGAAGCAGTACTCTACCTGAATTTTCCCAAATACGTTCTAGCTCTCCTGGAAGGATACGTCAACTCAAAGTAAGCAATTTTTTTTTTTTTCATGAAAGGTTAGATAGTAAATACTTCAGGTTTTGCAGGCCCATCTGTCTGTCTCAGCTACTCGATTCCGTAGTTGTAGCTTGAAGGCAACCAAAGCTGTTAAACACATATGCCCTGAATAATTTCAGTTCCAATCAAACTTCATTTGAATTTTATACCATTTTACATGTTATAAAGTATTGCTTTTATAATTTTTTTCCTGTCACTTAAAAAATGTGAAAACAATTTGTAGGCTAGACAGAAGGCTGGATTCAGGAGGAACACAGTTTGCTGACCTCTGCTTTAAATAGTTCACACTCTGTATGGGTCTTCATAATCTTGGGATTTCTGAAGACCAATGTATTTTAATTCATTGATACTTCTGTCTGAAATTCATAAAGTAAATTATTGATAATTGCTTTTACACTTAGACCCTCTTCTTTCAGTTCCCACTGAACTGTAAACTCTTATTTTGAAACCAGGGACATCAACAAGCCTAGAAATAACACAAAGTCAATGTGGTAAACAGATTGTTTTGTCTCTCTGAGTGTACTGTGAGCTTCAGGGGATATATCACAATTCTCTATATATTCAATTTTCAAAAATAAAAAATAAAGAATAGGAGGAGATTTAAAAATAAGTCTGTAGAAGAATGTAATTAAAGTATGAGTTTATTTTGCATAGTTGAAATACATACATAGTTTTTCATATTATGCATTTTTCATTAACTTTTTGAAGATCCCTTATATACATTCAATAACTCTCTAAATATTGTACAATGTTCTTTTCATGATTGCGACCAGTATGGAATTAATAATGTTAATGTAAATTGTGTTATCTGACTGTATAAAAACAGTTCTTTTTATTCCATTGAGTTTGCATTATTTTAAAGAATAATCACATATTTGATTAAGTGGTCAACAAAGCAGTCACTTAGAAGAACTGTTTTATTCATTGTTCTTATTTTGCACCATCAATTACAAATTCATTTTTCTCTAAATTTGTGCTCTGAAAAACATGCTAGCTTAATTACGCCCATCAAGGAAGGAGAAAATTCTTCTTTCAGTAAAGATAACAAATCTTTCCCTGAAATAAGGCCAACACTTCCTCACATACTTCCCCTAAAAACTGGAAACAGTTTTTAAAATAGTTATTAACAGTCCTGTTGCTACTCTCTGGTATTTATTTTTTGAAGCATCTGATTCTATTTTTTTCCTAGTATAAAATTGTAATTTCTATCTCATTTGAGAATCTTTTGATTAGATAAGAGGCATGGTGGTACTGTGTTCGAGAATTGGGTACGATGTTAATGGTAACCTACAACAGTTATAATATTGTTAACCCAGTGATTAGAACTCCCCTTAATGATAATAGTGTTGTTTTTGCCATTACTAGCATAACAGGTAACATTGAGTGCAAGGCCTTTTTCTAAATACTTAGTTTGTATTTATTCAATGCTACAACGACCCATCTTTGATCAATTGTACCATTTTCTATTTTTGCTAGTTTCTGGTGTTCTGGAATCGATTACAGTTAGCACTGAGTCATCAAAGGAGACCATAGGTAACAATGTTCCCAGAAGACAGGCATACATGCTTTTCCATCTCATTGCAAAGTCATCTTAGCATGTCCTCATGCTTTGTGCATTTTATGGCCACCTGCTCCTCACATCTTGGCTGTGCTCGTCCAGTGGGCCCTGAGAGTCATTGACAGCACGTCATGTACGCTGTATTGCTATGCAAGTGTCACAATTTCCCTATTAAATTCCTTTTCTTCTCAATGAAAAATCTGATTTTTAAATATGCTGGTCAATCTTGTCATATAAGTATGTATGTCTGCCCATCCTATTTTTCACTTATTAATCATTTTTTATTCATCCCTATGCTTTCCAAGGACTCATTCTATATCTTTTTCTTACTAGAATACTTAATAGAAAAATATGTAAGGAAGTGAAGTTATCTGCTTTGTTCCAGGTAGTAGTGCTATAGATTTTTACCAGTTATTATTTGTATGCATTCCTGTATGTGTGTTCCCACATAGCACACTGCCTTCATTTCCTGCCTTTCTAATCCATAGTCATCATCAGAGTCTACCTAGATGTTAGTTATTCTCAAGAATGTATCTGCTTAAGATAGCTAACCTCTGTTTTCAAATAAACACAGGGTTCCATTATAGAGTGCTTTGGGCCACCCAACCCTAATGAGCTGTTCCCTGTTTCTTCCCTAGCACCAGTTGAAAGAGATTATGTATATCCATCCACCAAAGCACCATGCAGGCCAGAGGATCCCAAGATTGAAGGTGGTACAGGTTTCCATGTTTTGATATATTTAGTCAACATACTCTTAGTTAACATATGTTACATCTGTGGAACATGAAAGTTCAAGCTGGGTAGTTGATCTACAGTTGAATAGATCTGAAGAATTATTCCTGCCAATCTTCTTGAATTCTTAACATTAAGTGATAATGGACTCTCTCTGGATCTAGAAATCCTGTTTTTCTGCTGATATCTACAGATTGAGGCATAGTAACATTTGGAAAGCAGTGAATGACAGAACATTAATATTTGTTGAAGAATGACTATGATAGAGTAAGATTTTCTTCTTGATCCTCTTTTTTCTAATCTAACTCTATTGTCCTGTATGTGAAAGTATAATGCAAATTTGTGAAGAGAATGAGATATATTGACATTCAAGAAAGAAATACTTGACTATAGCTTAACATCTTATAGTTCTTTACATTGTTCTCCTTTGTTTTGATACAGTTGTGAAATCTACTCCCTATGTGTCTGAACTGCCTGAGACCACTTTAGGTATGACAGCCTCAGCGGCCCAACCCATGTGCTTTCTGTCTCCATGATGTCATCACCTGAGATCCTTGTGGTCTCTTTCACTGTGAATTCATGTCGCACCACCATCTTCTGTCACGTCGATTTTCTAAGTGCTTCTGTTCCTAATCATTGTCCAAAAATGTCTTTTCCCACTTGGTTTCATATCAAGAGCTTGGTCTCATTCTTGATCTAGAACATCTTTTCTCCTAACTTTGAACATTCTGCAGCTTGGTATTGGATTCAGTGTTTCAGATGATACTTTTTTGTATGATGATCCATTCATTTATACTTTCTGACCTAGCAACATACTTGCCATTAACAGTCATTCCATCACATTCACGCACATGTTTGATTTTTGTTCTCCATTATTCAAGTGAAATTCAATGCTTCTTAACTGGCTCATGCTAAATTACTTTTTCCCTTTATTGATCCTATTGAATGTATCTTACTAGCATGGGTGAGGGGATGTGGTCCAGGTGTGGAGTGAGAATTTCAAAAGTACTTCATAAACTGGCATCTCTAAGCATTTTTTAAACTTAATGCATTACAAAATAGGAATACTATTTTGTGGCAAACTTACAAGCTTCATTTTCTAAATTCTGCTTATTCCCATCCTGTCTGTTATTTGTACTCAGGATCTATCAAGCGTTATAGTAACTCCATATTCTTTCCTCCAATTACCATAGAAACATCACCTCTGCCTTCCCAAACTTTAATTCTACCCAGTCCAGATGAGCCTCAGACCCAACCTGGTAAATACATTATTTTGTATTTCATATGTGAGGTGAGTGTTTGCAGAATGGCCTCTTCTAGACATCAGAAGCTCTGATTTCATCATTGTGCTCACAGTCTTTAAGGGGAGATCCCACCTTTCTGAGGTCCCACTTTTCACTCTATCATCAATAATCAGTCAGTAACAATGTTGTGAATATTCTTTAGGATGAGAGAGGAAAATCTCTTTCAGCTACTCTGCAAGTGTATAATTCAGGAAGTAGAAATATTTTGGGGGGAATAAGATTTTTATTCTATTTCTTAAACATGTGCTCATATGTGTGTGTATGTATATGTAGATCCTAATTTTAATTACTCTATCAACCAGCTCAACTAATATACAAGGTCCGCGATCATGTACAAAGTATTTGAAGATATGTAATTTGTGTTTGAAATTAAATTTGCCCACAGGCCTTATTGTCCAGTCCAGGTAAAAGTGTATAACTGTCCACTCACGTTGCCATTACTTGTATTTGCTTCCACTCTGGCCGTGTTTTGGCCGTTTCACTGTATACAAATAAGAGAAACTGACATACCGATTACTTTGGTTGGTCATCAAGTTTTCCGTGATGGTAGAGTTTGAAGTGAATGAAAATAAGTCATTAATGTGGATAATTAAACATGCTTTCTCTTGCAAGGAAAAATTCTCTCAATACATACAGGTTACATGGAATAGAAGTTCATCATAAATAAGTCCAAACTTCTGTTTTGATTGCCATTAAACTACTTTATATGGCTATATTTCCTAGGGAAGTGTGGATGTTATTGTACTTACTGTCCTCTGAAATATCCTATTATTTACCTATAAACTCTACAGTTTATTTTATCAGAATTTTACATTGATGGACTCTATGTCAATAATGTCTAAGTTTTATCAAGTTTTTTTATTATTCATAATAATAGTATTGAAATGTCTAATTGTGAATACTACTGTTAGTGACTCTTATCTCATTCTATATCATTAGTCATGAAATTCCTTCATGACATGACTTTACTTTCGAATAATTTTTCTTAGACCTGGGGTCAGGGGAGAAATTGCATATCAGCTAGAACCTTAGCAGTCAAGGAATCCGACAGTCAGGAAATTACAAGATTATAAGAAGCTCTAGAACCATAGAATGTTAGTATTGGAAAGGTCCTTAAAATCATGTAACTTTTGGTGAAGAGCCTGCCACTCACTGTAGACCCAAAAATTAGCAATGTGACCTCTAAATTCCCAGACTGCAGCTCTTAAATCAGTGAAATCTCTCTGCAGGCAAGAAGACTCTTCTGAAACCATTACATACATTTGTATTTTGGTTTAGTATCAGGAAGAAGACCTGCAGAAACTTCTAGTGTCTAATAACTCTTATTTTTCAGGAAACTTTTCTTAAGGCATCTGAAACCGCATGACTTTGATCAATTTTGTTTCTAATCTTTCTTTATTCCAAACACACTTTAGTTCAGCCAAGTGAGATGTTTCCACAAACTGCAATTTTAAGTTTAATAATCCCTTTACTTTGGCAGAATCTACTTTTAATTTTCATAGTGAAGAAATAATTTACTAGATCTTCTTTAGGAATTTCCCAGCAAAGGAATAATTCACCAAGAAGAAAGTATCTTTGATGTTCAATTTCTCTTCCACAATAGAACCAATAAAAATTATATTTTGCATAGTAAAATTTTTTTCCATTAGCACTTGCTATTAAAATGCATTCTGAATTTGGAACATAGCATGGTAACTTTTCTATTTAAAAAATCATTTCTATTTGCATTTCAAATAATATACCTGGATATTCTGATAAAATAATGTAAACTTTAATAAGAATGAACTCTTGTTACTATGAAGTTTATTTTCAACCTATGTAAAATGTGTTTGACGTATATATTTCTGAAATTCTAGTACTTTCATTTTTCCAGCTGAATATCTTACTTATAAGAATTATTTCATTTTATTTATTATTGTTATTAAATTTGCTATAGGACACGTGCGCTCACCAGAGAGCAACAGAGAAAAAGAGAAAGCAAGCCACCAGGTCCAGGACTCAAACTGCAGTTGGCCATGTAGGACTCCAGCATCCCAGCCACTGTACCACCTGCTGACCCCAGCAGCTGAATATCTCAAACATTATCTAATGTGCCTTTTCTGTTTTCTGTTATATATATATATCATTTTAAACACCTTCCTATACTTCACAGATCTTTAGAAGCACAAATCACTGTGTATTTAGGTCTTTGATCACTCAGCAAACATCGGTGAACTAGTAGAGCCTTAAATACAGTGATCTTGAAGGGCTCAAGAAGTCCAAACCTATGTCCTTTCTTTTAGTTCCCAAGCAGACACCTCGTGCTCCTCCCAAGCCGAAAGCATCACCACGCCCAAGAATCCCACAAACACAACCAGGTAAATACATATCTTGTATTTTAGCTTGAAAAGTTTGAGGTTAGTAGGGTTTGTTGTGTTGTTGAAGTATAATAGGCTGAGTTTTTAATCCTTGTAAAAACAAGTGTTCTTCTTTAACCTAGTAAAATTTATATTTATTTTTAGATGCTCAAACAATACACCATTGGGAATGCTTAAGTGTCCTGGCCTTACATGATTTAAGATGAGATGTATGAGAATGGGATTTCTTAGAAAGAGGTAGCCTGCATCTCCCTTTCTTTCCCATCCTTGGACTATCTCCCTATACCTTCCACTATACCTGAAGGTGCTTTCCTCTGCCAATCACCCATTTTTAAATTATCTTTAATGCTTGACCTACTTGCAAAAAAAATCTGAGGTATACCCATGCAGTATACCAGGAAAGGAAGCTTCTCTGCCATGCTCTGAGAAAAAGTAAATGCTTAGCACATCAAAATGATGCTTGAATCAGGTAGTAAATCAGACCCTACTGCAAATACTTTAATCATATCTCAATCTCTACTAGGTTAAAAAAAAAAAACCTATCATTTTAAGTGTAGTCTCAAATATCTGTTTGGATTTTGTTTTGTTTTTAAGTTGATTATTTCTTCATGAGAGAGAGTCAGGAAGCCTTATTAAGGGCTTCCTCCTCCAGCCCTCCAGCCCACCAGAATAAATAGATGCACCTGGAGTGTCAGGTCGACCCAGGACGCAAACCTGGAGCCTCCCCACATGTCTCTAGTACCATGTTACAGCACCCTGCTGCTTGTGCCAACACAGCTGGGCCTCTAATACCTGATTCTAAGAGAAGTTTTACCTATTATTTTCTTTAAAGGAAAATTTCTTAAATGACTATTCTGTGTTTTATATCTACCTAATAATTTTAAGTCTACCTTAGTGTCTTTTTAGATCTGTTCTAATTAATGATCAAAATTTGCCATGAAAATAATTTATTCTGATATATAAAAATATGAAGATACCAAGGCAATGTCCCCCCACAGGAGAAGGAATTTGAAAAAATAACAATAAATACATTTGAAATATCAATATACAAGAACTAGTAGGGCTAGACATAACACAAGAACATAATGCCGTGCAAGGCTGACCCACGTGGGAAGGTTCCAGGTTTGAGTCTAGAGATCTACCTGAGTACAGCCCATGATCCAGGGCTAGCAGAAGCTGGGGTGATTGTGACATAAAGACTGATTGTGACATAAAGACCCAGCTAGGAGCTCGGTCTCTCTTACGTGGAAGAAAGAAAGAAACTCAACAACAACAAAAAAAGTACTAAGCAAATAATTAGGGATTAAATAATGATTAAGGAATAGAATAAGGATAAAAATAGTAAACTGAAAAAAATATTAAATAAATAAACAAAATTTATTAAATTTATCAATAGGAAAAACACCTAACTTGAAAGTTATATGAGAAGATACGTTCAATTTTTTTATCTGAACATGAAGCATAGAAAAAGAATAGAAAAGAAAATAAAGTACAAAAACTTGAGGAATGTTGAACTAGATGAGAAAAGATAAAAAAAATACCAAGAGTTACACATTTCTGATTAGTTTTTAAAAATGTTAAAAGAGATATGGAGTAATAGAAATACTTTTAATTTTATCTGTTTGATCTGTATTTTGTACTTAAAAAATATGGTTGGACCCAGCAGTTGGTGTAATGGCTATGTCTCTGGACTCCCATGTAGTTGACCACAGTTCCAGCCCCAGACCCAGTGGCTTAAACTCACACTGGGCATGTGTGCATGCGTTCCCAAGATCCCGAGAGGAGAATGGAGGAGAAGGGATTGTGGTGTGGCCATCCCCCTGAGGAGTGATTTCTCGCTTTCTGTCTCTCTGTCTCTCTCTGTCTTTCTGGCAAGCATACACACTCTATAGCAAAAACCTCACCAAAAAAAAAAAAAAATGTGGTATAGCCAGAAGCTTGATTAAATCTCCCATGATTATACTATACTCTAACTTTCAAATCTGATTGTGATTTAGACCTTTAGCCGACCATTTTCAGCAAGATGTACAACTTCAGAATGGATAGATCATATGCCCAGTGCATTCTTCCACAAACCCTGAAACCCAGGAGTAGCTGCCAGACTATAATCAGAGAGCCTCATGTTATCCCAGTTGAAGCAACTCCTAGTCCATCAGCATCTTTTGTGGAAAATAACTGCAGCTCAAATACTTCTGGTTTTGTTTGTTCTCTAATTTTTCCTCTTCTAACAGTATCTGGAGTTCTAATGTATCTATTTCTGGTTTAGTTTTCTGACTTTTGTATCAGCAATGCTTTATCAGTGTTCAGGCTTACGTTTGGTCATGCCTTCTGTGTAAGCATGGCTGGGAGATGCTGGAATCAAATAACTCATGATCTGAGTTCTCTCTTTTCAGTACCTAAAGGGCCCCAGCGAGTTACTTCAAAACCAAAAATGTCACCAACTCCTGAAGTGTCATACACTCCATCTGGTAAATGTTTATTTCATGTTTACTCCCAATACAACCTATTGTCACACTGCTGCAATGAAACATGAGTGCTGATGGGTATGAGTCAATATTTCACTTCTGTTCAAATACCGTGTTGTATCATAATTATTTTAGAGGCTTCATAAGAATTGTCCAATTGCTCAAATAATATATTATCACAAAAAAAGGCAGAGAATTGCACAGGATGGAGTATCTTTCCTAGAACTAAAGTGCTCTTATTCTCTGATTTGCATAAAAAACTGCCAATTCTAACTATGCTATGTTCAAATGTTTTATCTAACAGGAAGAAAAATAAAGAAGAAATGATAAAATGGTCTTTTATAAATAGATACAGTGAGGCTTAACCATTTATTTGGGTTCATAAATTTTGCTTTAGCCAACATTGCATTTTTTTTTCCTGTCAAATTTTATTTTACAAGATTATAGAGCAAAAGCTTGAGTTAAGTTTATTTCTTGTACACATTCACACATACACAAATGATTTAATTACAGATTCCCCCTCCCCCCAAATTATCTGAGAAGGCCTTTTGTTCACTTAAGAGGAGAATGATCTCACATTTGTGGGATTCTCCAGGATGGGGGACTGCAAGCTATTTATATGAAGTCTTCAAGCAGCCTTAGGAAGACACCATTAGCTGAACAGTCCTCTCATAAGCCAAACCAAGCTCATTTTAAGCTAGAGAATTTGGAAAATACTGTTTGTTGGGTTTTTTTGTTGTTGTTTCCCCTTTCCTTTTGAAGGTGTAATAATTATAAATCCCTAGCTGTTCCTAGAACATTCCCAGAACAAAAGAGTTTCAAAGCCATAATTTAAAATGATGGCATTTGGAAGCAAGCCTGAATTCACTTGTACTTTCCAGATGGTGTAAGTGGAAGATAATATTACTGCTTTGGTATAATTGGGTTGTTGCTGATGATGGTAAGCTAGGTAGAGAGAGGCTCCTTTGCTCTGTGGGCTAGAATTTAAATTCGTGCCACTAAACATAAAAGCCAATATTCTAAACACAAAGTCAGAAAGGAAGTGGTCTTCCCACTTGCAAAAGGTTCATTTATTTTCAATTATGGGGGAAGAAAGTAACAGCAAGTGAGTCAGTACATAACTAAAGTAGATATGAGTGATTTTATTTACTTTTCCTTTTGATTATAGAAAGTAATATTGTTGGTGTAATGTTATCTGATAGTCAAGCTTCTTTCTTCCTTTTAGATACTTGCTTTTGGCATTAGTGCCCCAACACTTGTTTTTCACAGAGACTCTGACCCATAATCTGAGTACTGAAAGCAGCACTAACAACCCCCACCACCACCCCAGGGTTTCTGTTGGCCTTACTCTGTGAGCTCTCCAGCTCTCCAGGTTCAGAGTTAGAATTCTGCCTCTCAGTACAGCATTGGCCTTGCCCTTGTAATCATCAGGGTTCTTGTATTGCTGCAGGACACCTACAAGAATAATCATAGGAGAACCGTTGCCACATTTGTGTTCTGACTGTTCGAACACTGTGTTTTGTTGTGTTTGAAAGGTTTTAGATTGTGTCTAAGCTCAGGTTTGCATCCTAATGAACCCAAGATCTTATTCATCAGATCCTGTAGGTCATACCTCAAACAGAGGGTAAATTTCATATAAATAATTTTTTCAGAATGTATTTATTTACTTTTTATTTATTATTATTATCTTAATTTATAGGGCACATGCACTAGAGAGAGAGAACATGAGAAAGCAAGTCACCAGGTTTAGGACTCAAACCACAGTCGGCCACATAAAAGCCCAGTGCCTTAACCACCATGCCACTTCCTGGTCCCCTTATATAAATTTAATGCATATTAGTATCATAGAGAAATAGAATCTTCTGTCAAAGCCTAAAAATATAAAATTAGTGCTGAAATCAGAACAGAGTTATGTTTTTTGTGACATATATCTCAAAATTTATTCTGAGAGAAATACCAGATATAACAAAACTGAGAAGACCTGTATCAAATAGAAAGTCAGTCTAGGATTCACTGTAGAGTCTGTAGATTCTAGGCATGACACGAGCTTCATCCAGTGAAATCTTTAATGAAAAATCGCCCAGTGACTCAGTTGAATTATCTACTATACTTAATGAGGAATCTTGATAAACTAAGCCCCCATACCTTATATAGACCAAAACAGAACCGACTTTCCTCCAGATTTACCATGGAATTGCTGCAGGACACCACATATGGCATGATGATTTGGAGTTGAGAGCAGAAGACTCCCTCTTTGGGCTGCTCTTTAGATCACTATCCAAACCTGAGTTGTCTGGCTCAACAGACACTGGTCTGCCTGCTTCCTGAGTTCACTTTTCCACCAAGAGCCTGCTCGGCCTGGTTGTCATCTTTCTGGCTCCAAAGCATTTGAATAGATTTTAATCACTGGGAACCAACCAGAAAGAAAACCTAGATTTCAGCAAGCTCTCCAAATCCTCTTGACAGTTCTGTGTATCTGCTCTGCTTAGCAAAGTCTTATCTGCAGTCACATGCTTTAGCATTTTTGTAGTTAGTTTCATGTGTTCAATTGCACAGGTTTGTTTGTGTTTGCTTTGGTGAGCTAATTAAGAACGAGTGTTTAAATCTAAGTATTTTCTTAAAATTGAACCCTATGGTTTAAAATAACTGAATTATAATTCATTAAAGCAATAATTTGCCTGGATGATATACTTTAAAATATTGCCAGATTTAAGGATCAGCAGATAGCATAATGGTTACGTCCCTGGACTTTCACATAGTTGACCATGGTTCAAGTCTCCAACCCAGTGTCTTAAAACTCACACTGGGTATGTGTACATGTGTGCCCAAAATCCCAAGAGAGGAGAATGGAGGATAAGGGATTGCAGCGTAGCCATTCCCCTTGGGGAGTGATTTCTCACTTTCTGTCTGTCTCTCCAGTGAGTACAAGTGCCCTATAACAAAAATCTCTTCAAAAAAATTGTGAGATTTATATTATAAAGAACCCTAAATATGGACATTCATCAAATGATTTTTTTTTCTAACGTAGTTTTTGTTTTTGTCTTATTTGTCATAGGGTGTATGTACTTGCCAGAGAGAGATGAAGAAAGGGAAAGTGAGAAATCGTTCCCCAGAAGGGGATTATTTTTAAGAATGCTGGAGCTTTTCAGCTATTTCATAGGTAGAAGGGAAGGAACTCGTGGAGAAATAGAAATATGGTATAATGAGGAAAATATAAGATATTAGAAAAGTAAAAGTTCTCAGAGGAGATGGGAGGAGGGTGGCCCCAGAGCACAGGTGAAACTCAGAAAGTGGTCACCAGAAATGGGGGTACTACTCAGACTGGACCAAGGGCACAAAGTTAGAATAAAATAATAGAGAATCTTGGGACCATTAGAAAGAGTAATGGTTGCATCAATGGACTCCCACATAGTCAATCGCAGCTTGAGTGCCAGACTCCCACATAGTCAATCGCAGTTTGAGTGCCAGATCCAGGGGCTTAAAATTCACACTGGGCACATGCACATGTGTGCCCAAGATCCTGAGAGGAGAATGGAGGAGAAGGGATTGCAATGTGGCCATCCCCTCCACCCCCGGGAGTGATTTCTCACTCTCTGTCTCTCTCTGTCTCTCTGGTGAGCTCACACACCCTATGGCAAAAATATCTCTTAAAAAAATAGAGAATCTTGAGGTAAAAAAAGTATGAAGTATACATATTATTTTTCTTTTTCCCTTTTTTTAAATTTTTAAGGTTTTTACTATAGGGTACATGTGCTCACTGGAGAAAACCAGAGAGGGAAAGTTGAAAGTTGAAAAAAACAACCCCTGGAGGATGGCCATGCTGCAATCCATTCTCCATTCTCCTCCTGGAATTTTGGGCAAGCACACACACACCCAACATGATTTTCAAGCCACCGGGTTCAGGACTAGAACTACAGTCGGCCATGTTGGAGTCCAATGCCATAACCACTTTGCCACCCACTTGCCCCCATATTATTTTTCTAAGGGAACCAGACTCTTTGTGGCCTTTTACTGGGGTGAACCTTATTCCAGAGTTCATATTCACCATCATTTTAAAACGTGTACTTATTCCTTCTATACAGCAAGAGGAAGACAGGCACCATCAACAGGTTCATCTGTCACAATCCACCTCTAGCCAGCTCAGATTACGGGCACATGTATTCCAAGGGTGCACAGGGAGGGCTCAGGAAGCAAACTGTGAACCTTTCCATGTAGATCCATGCTCATAGAGCATTGCACTACTGTTGAGCCACCATCTTGTCCCAACACCACCTTTTTTTTTTTTTATTTCCTTCATGAGAAAGATAAACACACACACAGAGCACCCAACAGGGTGTTGACACTGTCACCCAGGCCCAGATCATGGGCACCTATGTGCTTAGAGTACTCAGAGCGGTCTCTGGATGCAAACCTGGAACTCTCCCATGCAGGTCAGTCTCACGAAGTGTCACTTTTACCACTGTGCCATAGCCCCTATTTATTAGAGAGTAATACATCAATTCTCTGGTTTAACTCTAGCAAAATGTTCATGCACATTAATTTATACTTGTGCTAGATATTGTCCACTCAAAATTGTCTTGCATTGAATTTTCCTTTGGAGTGCTACACTTAAAAAAAGCAGTTAATATAATTGGTCAGTTAATATTATTGAGTCTAAAATATAATAATGGTAAACACTTTATAAGACAATCAAAATCGAGTTCTGAAATACATTGTCATCATCGTTTACATGGAGGAGTTTTTCCCAACGTGAAACAGGCAGGTTTCAGGGATGGTGCTCTTGTTCACTTCAATAAACAGGAGTGCCACGCAGCGAAAGAGGATGAAACAAAAACACAAGTTCTTGGAGATAGGGTTGACCAAGGAGGAGAATGATTCATATTCCTACAAATGTTTCTCTTTCTTTCCTTTCCACTGATTTCACCTGCCTTAGAAAGTCTGCTCTGACAATTTATTAAATCATCACTTCATGGTTCAAAAGAAAAGTGCCAGCTGCTAAAGCTGGAATTCATGTTCCCCTGGCCTGAATTTCTCGGTAAATTAAGAATCAATAAGTAATGTATTTGCAGTGTGGTGAGTTTGTTAGCTTCTCTCCTCTCAGCTTCTCTGACCTTTAATCCTAGCTCTTTTTTGTGTAATCTAGTACCGTAACTAATTAGGCTAGTTATAAACTATAGACTCCTCCAAATTAAGTGTCTCCTCCTTCAACCTCCACATGAATGCCTAGTTTAACTTACAACTGGAAATTTCTTGTACTTTACCAGTTGAGTCCCCTAAAAAACACTAGGTAGCAAAAGTGACATGTTCACTTTTATTATGGGTTTTCCCTAGCCTTGTGAGAATCTTTTGGAGGTTTTCTTTAATTTAGTGCCCTAAAATAAAAACAGATGTGGCATGCAAATTAAATATCCTGAAAATGATTTTTTTTTAAATGCCCATTTTAAGTAACCTGTTTCCACCCTTATCGTCAAGTAGTGCTTGGCCACTCATGGTACGAAGCTTTCTTCAGCGATCTCTGAGGCAGAGTTCTAACCTGCATTCTATTTTTTCCCCAGCCTCATATAAAATGTAAGCAAATTATACTGCCTGCCAAAGGGACACTGATATTTATTTAATCTTCAGTGTGGTAGAAAAACCTTTCAGAGAGTAGACATGAGGAGGGCTGCCTCCTGGGGAAATGGGGCTAAAGAACATTCCACTGTTCTGGGAATGAGACTTTGTCAGAAATCTAATGCTAAACTGGGCAAATCACCTTGGTATTTTTCCAAATGAGAAATAAGGCAGCAAGTTCCCAATCTACCATGTTATCTTGCAAAGAGGTAACACAACTTTAAACATAGTGTAGATGTCCTCCTCTTTCACACACTGTATCTGGTATTTACATCCATTTACTGTGTTCCTATATCCTTTAGAAGACATTTAGGAAAAAAATAGAGGCAAAGCATTAATGGGAAAAAGAAATGTCGTATTATCTCCTGAAGATATTTTATAGCTTTATCAACTGGACTAGAGAGAGATGTTCACATGTCGAAGTATTCACTTTTTAAGCTAAATAATGTGATTCAATGTATAAAAGAAAAAAAACTTATTGTAGATGTAAGGGACTGGCTATGAGTAGGTCTAACATTTAGTAGACTATTTGTCTTTAGTTTTCGTATTCTCATATGAAAGTCAAGCATCTAGTGTACCAGAAGCTTCATCCCCCAGGAGTACAAAAATGGCAATAGCTCACATTCATCTAGCATTTACTATGTTACAAGACTTGTTACCCTTACATGGGGTATCTTCTAGTGACTGACTGACTCCTTTTGCTTTTTTTCTCTCCATGATAACCATTGATGCCATTTAAAATGAAATTGTGTCCTCCTCTTAGATGTTCAAGATTTTGTTTCTCCTTGCTATTTCTCTCAGTTGCACTTTGTCCAGTATGATTTCCTATTGCTATCCGTTGGATTTTAGTATGAATGCCCTTTGTCAAGAGTAGCCAGCCAGTTCAGGCAAAAACTGAATGTCTTCTTTTTTTTTAAGTTTATTTTATTCATGAACAAAAGGAGAGAGAGAGAGAGAAGAGGACTTTTGAGGGTCTTGTCACACCTCGATCCCCCTCCCCAGACCATCAGGATCCCAGGCATTCCCATGTGCATCTGGTGTGCTTTCAGACTGACCAGGAATCCAAACCCTTAGTGGGCATGTGGCTTCCAGCACTGCATTTTGTTACCACATGTGGCACAAGGCTGGGCTCTGACTTCTATTTTGAAGACAATTTAAGGGAGACCCATCTTCTTGTATTTAACTACAGTTGATATTTCCCCATTTTTTTCCAAGGAATCTTTCAGAATGAACTGTGACTGACTTTGTTACTATTTTGCTGCCACCAGAACTTTCCCTATCAGTGACATTTTTTTTCTTTTGAAAAAAAAAAATCAGTCATGTTTTTGTCCTTGATTTTGAGCCATCATGAAAATACCATTGCTTCATTCATGCTTTGTGGCATTTTATATCTGTGAGTTATGCTCACTTGAACTGTTACATTTAGAGTGTATAGTGTTTTATACTCTTTTCTTTCAGTTCCAAAAGAGGTGCTCCTTCCCTATAAACCAGACTCCGAGGTCTCTCAAAGTGAACCTGGTAAATAAATTATTTTCTTTTCCCAGTTAGGATGTGTATTTTTCAAAAAATATTCTCAGGATATATAATTTTTACTGGATGTAATACGGAAGAAGTTCAAAGAAGATTATAGCTGTAGAATGTCTACTTCCATAGAGAAATTTTAATTATACACGCTGATCAAAAATTTTTCCCCTAATTAAATAAAGGAATAATATATCATTTGTTTTCCCTGAAAGTGTTTTCCTTTAATAAAAGATTGTATTAAAACTATGAACATGGTTATTAACTAAGCCAACTGTTTTATATCTTTTCCAAGCATAAATGTTGGTACATTACAACTATGGCTATACTATTAAGTAAAAAATGTGGGCGCCTATTGAAAATTTTATCTCAACGTGATGGTGAATGAGAATTGTTAAGTTTTAGTTAAACTAAGTTCCCTCAGTGGTGTCCACTATGTATTCTTTTTCTCATATTTATTATATTGGGTCGTCAGAAAAGACATGATGTGTTTTTCTAAGGAAAAATGTGTCATGACTTTTCTGACAAGCCAGTGGTTCTTCAGAAATGTTTAAATGATTAGATGGATACACCTAGGGAATACAGAAACTATTTTTACTTCACCAGGCAGTTTTTCTCTCATAAATATGTGGGTTTTTTTGGTTTGCTTTTGCCATAGTTCTGCAACCTGTTACCTTTAGAATGGAACCAACAAAGACAGCAATAGGTAATGGTTTTCCCATTTGACTAACTGATTATTTTCTTTGCTGCCATCAAGATCATAGGTCTTTCTCAAATGATTCATTGAACCATCATCTTTTCTCAGTCCATTGCATCATGGCATTCTCATTCATGTGACTCTTTCCAAAACAGAAAAGCAATGGTTTTACTCTTGTCAACGCTTTGCTTTGAAGACCAGCTTGAGAGCTCATCACTGATTCCATCCTCACCTACCTCATTTACCTCCGTGTCCAAAATGATTCCACCTTGTTGTTGCCTGTCTAGTTAACAACCCCTACTGGATCGGTGGTTCTCAGCTGTAATGTCACAGCACTCTAGCATGGGAAACATGGAAAGTGCTACACGTTATTATTATTAATATTGATCAAAATTCTGAAAACGGCCAATGATTTATTTGTAAAACTAAACTTGAGTAGACAGAAGAGTGACAATGATGACATTGTCACTCCTTTTGTAATCCTGTATGTTCTCTTGGGTGGGAGCAAGCAGGTAGAGCTACAGCTAAGAGACTAGGACCTTGTCTCACCCATTCATCTTTACCAGCTATTTTCATGAAGGAGCTCAAGCATACAGTGACATTTATTATGTGTTCTGGCAGAAAAACAGTTGAGAACCATTTCTCTCACCTCCCATAGTCATTTTCCTGAAAGTTCTGTGCACGCTTAACTTTCTTCGTCATGACTCATGTCAAGTTTCCTTTTTTCTATTTCAAATTAAGGAAGGCATCATGGGTAGTGCTAGTCTGGTCTGGTGCTGGCTTTCAATCTAAATATTTACAGTCTTGGCACTTTTCTTTTGCAGCTCCTCTCGAGACACGTGGTAGCCCTTTTATACCACTGATTTCACCAAGTCCTAGTCAAGAGGGACTACAGACCACTCTGGGTAAATTCTGTTTCCTATTTCAGTTCAGGGAGGGACCTACATTTTAGAACTTCCTCTTAAAGTAGCCATAAGTACACGATGGCTATAGATGGTTTCCAAACAAAATAAGGTCCATTTTTACCACTATAAAAGTATCTATTTCACATGATAATTTTACATTTATATTTGTTCTTCTAATATTTATCCTGATGTTCACAATAAAACAAGAATATCCTCAAGCATCTTGGCAAATTTTCAAGTATTTTTAAAAGGAAAATGTTCCCAAATTAATGCTATGCTACTTAGTTGCTTTTTCTAGTATTCGAAAACCACATTTGGGAAAAAGACTCAGACATCTAGTCCTTTTGGAGTCATTGCTGTTAAGTACAGTGCTGAGCAATATGAGTTCCCCAAAAAATCTGTTTTAAAAGCAGTTTACTTAGAGAGTTCACCCTTTAATATGAAGATAAAATTAGTGGCTCCCCCCCCCCCGCCCCCCCCCCCCCCGCCCCTGACCCAGTACACTACCTGGGGTTTTTAAGTTAGAGCCACGAAACAACACTAATAGCATTTGGAAGTCCTTGTAATCATTAAAGTGATATTGCAAGAGAACAGATTTAATAATTGAGAATTATTGGGACCAGCAGTTGGCGTAATGACTATGTTGCTGGACTCCCATGTAGTCGACCACTGTTCAAGTCCTGGACCCTGTGGTTTAAATTCATGCTGGGCGCATGTGCGTGCGTGCCCAAGATCCAGAGAGGAGAATGGAGGAGAAGCGATTGCAGAGTGGCCATTCCCCCTGGGGGGGGATTTCTCACTTTCTGTCTCTCTGTCTCTCTCTGTCTTCCTGTCTCTCTGCCTCTCTGTCTTTCTGGCGAGCACACACGCCCTATAGCAAAAACCTCTTCCAAATGAATAAATGAATGAGAGTTATTAAAATATACCATTAATTTTGAGTTACTGGGTATATTTTTAAATGCAGTTTACTCCTATTGCACAAGGCAGAAAGAGCATTGGTTTTTGGTTTTTAGGGGGCTTTGTGCTCACATTTATGGTCAAATTATTTAAAACAAGCCATCTTACTGTGTCTTTCCCCCAGAAGAAACAGACCGACCCACCCAAGAAATCTTCACAACTAAGATTCCACGAACAACTGAACTGGCAAAGACAACTCAGGGTAAAACTATTCCCCACTTTTGAATAGTAACTTTTTCCTATTTGCTTTTAATCAGGATTTTTTTTTTTTTCTAGCATGTAAGTTCTCATCACGGTGAATCACTTGATTTTTTTCATGTCAAAGGTGAAGGACAGCAGGACATCAGTCACGCTTGAGTCACTCATGTGATTAGTTGAATGTAGGAGAGGCAAGTCCTTCAGTAAGAGCTCTGCTTTTGAATATATCATCGACCATTTGGTGCTGATAACTGAGAATGAGAGCTCCCATTTCCCCCCCTGCTTGAACTTCTCTGCTTCATTTTTCACATTTGATAAATAAGAACCTTTATGACCCGCCCCTTCCTCTTCTCCTCCTGTCTCCCTGCTTCCTCCTTACTTTCTTCCTCTCTCCTATCTCCCCTATCCAATCAAAGATATCAATATTGTAGCTTGAGAAAAGGAACTATTAACAAGAAAAATCATTTTTTAATGATGGCAATATTTAAACATCTAAAGAGGTGTTCTCTGTGATTTCCTACTTTTATTTCTTATTTCACATGAATTATCTTAACACATTTATATAATGCATTGAACTTCATTTTCTTACGTATTGAGAACTCTTAGGTAATGTTTAAACTGTGCTACCTTGAAATTCCTACTATTCTGGATTTGTGCCAAGGATCTTTCTAATGGGCCCCCCAGAGGTTCAGTCACTTAAGATGACAAAGAATGTTCCAGGAAAGAGCTCATCTTAATAGGAGAGAATGGCATCCACAGCTGGTCACATCCTAATAGCCCTGTTTGCAAGTAGAGGATCAGATCCACTTTCACAGAAGCATGCCGGTCACTGGGCCAGCTTCATAAACATATGCCTGAGCTCTGTAGCAGAGGAGGTCAATCAGCTGCTCTGTTTAATTTTTAATGTTGGGCATTGGAACACAAGACAGTGCTGAAGCTTGAGAGACATGCACTCGAGATGAAATTATTCCTCTAGATCTTTATACTCTACCCATATGTGCCATGACCCATGTGGCTTTGTGGTCTCTGGGCCCTCAGCACTGGGGCCCAAATGTTCTAAGAAAACTGTGCCTTAACTTACAATATGAACCCACTAGTAGAATCTCTAACACCTTTTCTCTGTGGTGCTCTGGTTCCTATAACTCAAGTCCCTCCCTTTGCCCTTTTCATCTCAACCCACAGCAGAAATCCACTTAGCAAGAGGCATTGTGGGAACCAGCTGATTTTCTTTTAACCTCTTTCAGCCCCTTCATCCTTCCCTGCTACTACCCATTCGACAACTTCCCTGTAATCTCCTCTTTCCTTTTTTCCCTGAAACTGGATAGAACATGTGTCCTTTAAGGAATTTCTCCTGTAGTCCTTGTTTGTTTGCTTTTGATGCTGTCTTCATACAGTACTTTTAATGCTTTACAAAAATAGATTTTTAGACCTGTTTAGATATGAAGTCATCTTAAATTATTTATTATTTGTCACCAAACATTATGTGCAAATAATGTTTACATAGTTACATTGTCAAAGGGCCTCTTGGGCTTTTATTTTTTTCCTAAAATTTATGTTCTTATTTATTTATCAGAGAGGTTTTTGCCATAGGGCATGTGTGCTTGCCAGAAAGACAGAGAGAGAAAGAGAGACAGAGAGTGAGAAATCACCTGCCGGGGAGGATGGCCATGCCGCAATCCCTTCTCATCCATTCTCTTCTCGAGACATTGGGCACACATGCACATGCGCCCAGCATGAGTTTAAGCCACCAGGTCTGGGACTCAACCACATGGGAGTCCTGTGACATAGCCATTATGCCAACTGCTGGCCACTTTTTCTAAAGTTTAAAATTGAAATCTTAGAGCAGTTCTCTCAAGGCTGTGCATATTTTAGTGATGAGATTCTGAGTAATTCACAGCCTAAATGGAAGTAATACTTTAGCTACTTTTCACAAAGTCCTTTCTATATTTTAGTGAGATTGTGGGAAAACTAAAACAAAAGCTAACCCTGATCCTGCAGCTTTGAAATCACAAATGTAACGCTGCTTATTTCTCTACTGCACTCTGAGGCTCTTTCCATCCGAAGTTTTAAAATTTATATATATTCTAGAGTAGGATGAATAAGAATCATACTCTTGTATTTTCTTTAAGGGAAAGCAATCTAAGATTCAAAAGGAGTTATATGAAAAGTTGAAATAGGTTAAATTGACAGAGAATCTTAACACCATTAAAGAAAATTCAAGAAAAATATTTGCAAATCATTCTCGGGTATTTTAAGGTCTGTGAGAATCGATTTTTTATGACGTCAGCTCTGTTCACTGTGGTTGTTAGACTTGAGAAGGTCCAAGCCAAGCCTGCTGTAGAGGACTTCAGCCTGAGTCTGCTGTCATTGGCCTGCAGTATGGCAAAATTCCGCTCATCAGTCTTTATACCGGAAACTTATAAATGAGCTGTGCTCTAACCTAATCCACAGGTGTATTTTTTTTTAACTTAGTAGGCATTACTGATTTATGGTTATATACCCATTCAAGATGTGAAAAAGAAAAATCAGGCAATGTACTCCACTTACATAGTTTGCAACAAATTATTTTTCTTTTTCCAGTCTTAGCTAGAACATTTCCAAAAAAATCTGTGGCAGGATGCAGCATGTGGTGTCGAGGCAGGCAGAGGAGGGCAGTGGCGGGATGGACAAATTCCAAGATGAACAAATGCTTGGAAACTTTAAGACGCAAAAATATTTCAGGAGTTTCTCGCCAATTTGCTGTTTGCAGTGTCACCGTTTATTAATTGGTTTAGCAAACCTTCATTAGAACTCCTTTCAGGGCAGGTCCTCAAAGTAACAAGTATCAGAAGGCAACCCGTTGGCGTGTGGCTCCCAGGGTTTGAGTTCTCGCTCCTTGCTCACTTTGTGCTGATTTGCAAAAGCACCAGATGTCATTTTCTCTCATTTTTACAGCTCAATGGATGGCACTAAGTGTTTATTCATTTCCGGGTCATGAGGCATTCGATAGTGACCACATGTTTGTACTGTTTTGTTCTTACCTAAACATACTTCTCTTCTTCCTTTTTACTTCTCTTTGGCCAAATAATATGCTACAGTGACTCCTTATTGAGATGTGGTTGATGAATTAATAAATGGAGGGCTGGACAGGTTATGGCTTATACGTTTATCATAGTAAGCAACCATCTAGTGAAGTGAGTGCTCTTGAAAAACAGAGTAAATGATTAATCCTCAACACACATTCCAAATGACCTACCTCACTCAGACTGTGATGCATCTTTAATTTACAATGAAAATATTTTCACTCGCTTCATTTTCTTTTAGCGCGAGGTCTGTAATGCATAAGTGGAGGTTTCAGATTTTTTTTCTATCTTTCTGGAAACCGTGGGTGCTAAATCTTCATTCAGTAGGCTTTGGAATGCTGGCTTCTAACATGGAGGGTTTCCACTGTTTCAGCACCACACAGACTGTTCACGACTCCTGTGAGGCCCAGAACACCCGACAAACCACATGTCAGACCTGGTAAGTGATTTCACTTTGGTGATCACATAAACTGAAATAGTGAAACGCTCCAAAGGGGGATATATAGTCTTAAATTGCAGTAAGAGACATTAAGAAATTCTGGTTCTTTTGCATAAATGGATAGGTACTGATGAATCTATGGAAGTGGTAAGACTTAACTTGGGTTTTTAAGGATAACCAGATTCAGAGACCACTACAAAATTCAATCATATAAAAGTAGTCTACAAAGTGCATATAAATCTCTCTCTCTCTCTCTCTCTCTCTCTTACACACACACACACACACACACACACACACACACACACCCCTCTTCATGTTTCCATGACAAATATAGGAATAGCATAGAATTAGCTATGACATGATAGATATTACTTGGTTTTAAATATTTATTTTAGGATGGTCTCTTAATAAAAGACTTGCATTCTGTGAGACTATTTTTACTTGACTCATTCAGAGGATAAAAAAAAATGTTTTAAACAGCAAAACTAAAGTGACAATTATACATTGGGAAATACTTTAAATTTACTGACTTCTCCAGAGGCCCTAGGATCTCCCTCAGTAAAGCGAAATGAACAGTTAACTTGGAGGACCTGACTTGGTCCTTGTAGATTGCTCCTGTGCTAAAAGCGCAAGTGAGACCAAAGCATGGTGTTTTCTGCCTTTTTCATGGTTATTCTAAGGCATCGTCTTAAAAGTTCTAAATGATGAACTGGCTTATAAACACATAGTTTCAGCGAATGTATTTCCTGGCATGTGAAAGAAAAAAAGTAATTTTAGTATTCTTTGGTTTATGAAGAGCTCATATATGTTTTGCAGTTATCCTCCAACTAAAGATAACTAGGCACAAGAATCTGTTACAAGAAGACTTCAAAAAGCTTAGGAGAAAATGAAATTAAAGTACAAGTTTATTTCAGTACAAAAACATTCTGCAATGAAATCTACAATTTTTTCATGCTATACATGTTTCACAGACTTTTTGAAGACTTGCTCATGTAAAAAGGAATCTTTGTATAATAGCTGTTGAGAGGTTAATGTGTAACTGTTCACATGGACTTTTCTACAAAATAATGAAGCAATAACAATAATGACTGGCAAGAGCTTGCTGTGCTCTATGTGAGGTACCATTGAGGGAATGGAGGCACTGAGAAAAGCTAGAAAGTGAAAGGAAAGCAATCTGGCTCCAGAATTTGCTCACCTCAGCAAGATACGCTTCTCTCTTCTTTTTAAAGAAATGAACTATAAAAAGCATGAGAGAAGTTAAAATGGCTTCATCATTCCATGTTAAATAATGGACTTATGCCAGTACTGTCATAATGAAACATCTGGACCTAGAGTCTCCAACAAAATGACCACCAGGGCCGCCCACGATGTGGTGGTTAAGGCAGCTGGATCCGACATGGCCATCCATGTGGTTCAAGTTCCAGATAGTGACTTTAAAAATATGCTGGGTGCATGTGCCCCAAATCCTGAGAGGGTGAAGAAATGGAGGAGAAGGGATTGTGGCATGACTGTTCCCCATGGGGGGTTCTTCTTTGTCACTTTGTTTTTCTCTCTTTCTCATTGGTAAGTGCAAGTGCCCTGTGACAAATTTAATAAACAAAAAAGACCATCAGGGGACCAGTGGGTGGCATAATGGTTATGTTGCTGGACTCCCACAGAGTTTACTGTGGTTTGAGTCCCGGACTCAGCAGCTTAAAACTCATGCTGGGCACGTGTGCCTGCGTGCCCAAAATCCCAAGAGAAAAATGGAGGAGAATGGACTGCGACATGGCCATCCCCTATGGGGGGAAGATTTCTCGCTTTCTGTCTCTCTGTGATTCTCTGGTAAGTGCACACGACCTATAACAAAAACATGGCTCTCTTTAAAAGAAAAAAAAAAGAGAGACCACCAACTTATGAAGCAAGAATCGAAGATTTTACAAGTAAATACACTTCAGGTTTTGCATTTTCATTACACAGATGTAGTCCTGATCTTTCTTCAGTTCCATTTTGGAATATTCTAATGCTTATTAATGAAGCAACATGTTTCTCACTTAGAATTATAAATTCCCTTGCCAACTATTTTTTTAAGTCAAGTATTTCAGCCCAGTGATCACTTCAGGGCACAAATTCAGGTCTCTGTTTCCAAATTCAAATCTATAATTTTTTTAAAAATCACAGAATGTAGCTTCTATATTCTGAAACTTATTTTTAGGTAAGTCATCATTTGTGTGTGTGTGTGTGTGTGTGTGTGTGTGTCTGACTATAACCTCCAACTCTCTAAGAAATTTTGTTTTCCTTGCCTTCACACTTCTAATAAAAAATGTCTGAACTGTTCATTTCCAATTTCATTGTAGTTTTGAACAGAACAATTACAAGACCTACTAGACCTAAACCCAGTGGGATGCCCAATGGGAATGGAGTAGGAACAGGTAATGATTGCAAATTTGTTTCCTTTTGATTATGTAAAAAGTTATAAATGTTACTATTCCATTTGTCATTTTTTTTCCTTTTTTTTTTTTTGCTAGTTTGGGAAACTTGTAATAAAATTGGAATTGAAAATTATAACTCGTTCCAAAATGAGAACTTCAAATATCTCAAACATTAAACAAGACTTTTTTCACTCAGCTAAACTTAGTCCTCTAATATGTTGCCATATACAATCTTGCATCTTAAAAAGACTCTGACTAGGGGTAAGCAGGTAGCATAATTGTTAAGGTACTGGACTCCCACATGTTTGACTATGGTTTGAGTCCCAGATCGGGTGGCTTCAAAATCACACTGGGCGCGTGGGCATGTGTCCCCAAAATCCCAAGAGGAGAATGGAGGAGAAGGGATTGTGGCATGGCCATCCACTCTGGGGGATGATTTCTCACATTTCCTCTTGCTGTCTCTGTCTCTGTCTCTGTCTCTCTCTGGTAAGCACATATGCCCTATAGGTACAACTCTTTTTAAAAAACTAAATACAAATGAAAATAACCAAAATAGATGTTTTCCCTAATTTTAAAACACTTTCTATACACAAGTGCTTAAAACTGTAATTACTGGTCTTTAGGCTTATAATTTCACAAGTATCATTGTAATTTTTTAAAGCTCTGCATCTGTTAAGTCTGGAATATGAAAGTTAAACAAGAAGAGGCTGATTTAATCAGAGCAATTAGCAATGGATCACCCTAGTTAGAGCTATATTAATGTTTTCAAAGCATTCAAATAAAAGAAATGAAGTAGCCCTAATCTGGTCACATCTGTGAGAGTAGGCATCATTGTGGATAACTAAGAAACTGATGTGATAAAAGCTCAAACATCCAACTTACTCTGTAGGTACACAATAGTTACTGAATAGCTTAATGTGGGATTGCATCATTCCCTTAAAATATTTTTAATAGCACACACACAAAAAAAGCATGAAAACTAGAATTTCTTTGGTGCGTATATATTTCATCAACCCATGATTGTTCTCTAACAAGAGAATAACAACTTAAGGTATTTAGACTAAAAATCACTTTTCTGTACTCGAATCTCCTACAAAAGGACCACCAGGGTTTATGATGTGGTTAAGGCAGCTGGGATGTGTTTTTTTTGTACTTTTACTTGGTTATTTTGGTGTGAAATTCTAGGAACTTGCCTCTTTTCAAACCAAATAAGGAGGCCAATACTATAAGTTCCTGGCTCGTGAAGAGCAAGGAAGCCTGCCAGTATCTGTATTCAGCTGCATCCTTTTTTCTCCCCAATTGAGAGATTAGGCAATGCACAATTTCTCAGATATACATAAACAATCTGGCTCTAAACAGAATCACATCTCTCAGATCCTTTTCAGAGGGACTCGGGTACAAATTTAGGCATTCAAATAATTCCTTGAAAGTTACATAAGTAAAAATAGAAGGAAGCATTGAGCTAACAAAGCAAATGAAAGAATAAGTAGTTGTAATCACACCTGAAAGCTGCTAATCTTCAGTACACTCAAACATTGATTCTAAGAAAATGCTAATGTAGAGAGGAATCAGCATTATGCTTTAGCTTGCCAACAATAAACATTTTTCCAGAACTGCTTGTACTGCAAACTGATATCTGTTACCCTTCTCCACATAGAGTCAACTGTGTAATAACTCACCTAGTATAGTTTTGATACACCTTTGGGGGCCAACCCGTAGCACAGTGGTTACTTGCTATGCATTGGGAACCAGGTCCCACATGGCCAACAGTGATTCAAACTCTAACCCAGTGACTTGAAAACCACACTGGACACGTGTGCCCAAAATTCTGACAGGATGAAGAGACGGAGGTAAAAGAATGTGTCATGACCACATTTTACTGGCAAGTGCTTTCTTCTCCTATCAAATGTATACACCCTCTGGCAATAAAAAAATAATTTTATAAAGAATTATTTGATATAGTTTTGAAAGGATAGTATCTCTTATTTAAGCTTACTTATTTATTCAATGAGAGCCAAGCCAGAGAGACAGCTACCTCCATTAGGTTTGTTTCTGGACCAACCTAATGCAGGATGCATACAGTGATACGTGTCTGTAATCCTAGCTAACAGGGAGTCTGGGGCAGGAAGATCAAAGCACAGTAATAACCTGTCAAAAATGTACCTGTCCCTTCTTCCTCCCCTCCTTCCCTCCAACCACTCTTTCATTAAAGAGAGAGAGAGAGAGAGAGGAAGAAGAAGAAGAAATTGGTGAAAGAACAAGAGTTTTTAAATCTAATCTCTCTGGTTATAGACATGAAGTCTGCCTTCTTTTGATTCTGCAGTTTTGATCTGACTTGTTTATAGACAAGTAAACAGCCATTCACATAAGTTTATTTTCTTCTCTAACATAATTTCACTATCTTATTTTCACTTGAGTCTTAATAAGAGACCATTCTCATGTCAACTAATTCCATATCTAACTTTGACATCTTGCTTAGAACATTATTTTATCATCTCATATGCATTTTCTTAGTTTTTCTTGCTGACATTTTCAGCTCAAATATCTTACATTTAAAAAATTAGTTGATAGAGACCAGCAGATGGCATAATGATTATGTCACTGGACTCCCATGTAGTCAAACACAGTTCAAGTCCCAGACCCAGTGGCTTAAATCTCATGCCAGGTGCATGTGCATGTGTACCCAAAATCCCTAGAGGAGACTGGAGGAGAAGGGATTGCAGCATGGCTATCCCCTGTGGGGCTTGATTTCTTGTTTTCTGTCTCTCTGGCAAGTGCACAGTTCCTAAAGCAAAAATATTGCTTAAAAAAGTTAGTTGATAAAGGAATTTAGGGTCCAAAGAACATACTCTTCATGGTTTTGGGCCACCTAAGGTCATACCTGTGGAAGACTTCAAAATAAAGAAAGAAAATCATGAGGCCTAAAGACTATGTATCTTTGATTGTGGGGGTCCTTACAAACATTTTTGTAATTATTCCATAAATCAAGAATCTTTTAAGACATCTTGAGCCTAGTTTTATATTTCTTATTTCAGAAATAATTACAGATTTTTTTCCCAGCTTCATGTGTGTTTTATTTCTATATGTATAGATACTCCTCCACCTCATGGTTAAAAAATAGAAATTGAGGAGACAGCATGTGGCATGGTGGTTAAAGGACTCCCACATGGCCAACCACAGTTCAAGTCCCAAACCCAGCAGTTTGAAAATCACACCAAATGTGTGTATGTCATACTCAAGGTCCTAGAAGGAGAATGGAGGAGAAGGAATTTCAGTGTGGTTATCCCCCTGGGAGGTGATCTCTCTCTCTCTCTCTCTCTTTCTCTCTCTCTCTCCAGTGGCAAACTGCAGCCACACAGGCCAAATCCAGCTTGCTCTTATTTGTATAAATAAAGTTTTATTGGATCACAGTTTGCTTTTACAGTACATCAGCAGAATTGAATAATTGTGACAGAGAATATGGCCCACAAAGCTGAAAATATGTACTGACTGACCCTTTGTAGCAGCAGACCCTAACCTTTTTGGCTCCAAGAACCAATTTTGTGGGAGACCATTTATCCATGGACCAAGGGCAGAGGAGATGGTTTGGGGATGATTCAAATGGCGTTACATCTATTGTGCACTTTATTTCTATTATTTCACATTGTATGATGTAATGGAATAATGATACAATAGAGCTCCCACACCTATAAGAGTCTAATGCCCTGCTGATCTGACAGGAGGCAGAAGTCAGGCGGCAATGTGAATGAAGAAGTAGCTGTAAATACAGAGGATGCCTCACTCCCTCACCCAGTGCTCACCTCCTGATCTGCAGCCAGGTTTCTAACAGGCTGCAGGGGTTAGGGACCCCTGCTTTCACAGGAGAGATTGCAGACCACTGGGCAGGATAATCCCCCTGACATTCCAAATAAGGAAGCCGCTGAGCTGTGCAGCCATTCTTCCTTCCAAGTAACATGTATTGAAGGCCCCATTATGTGCCAGGCAAAGTGCAATTTCAAACCACCTTGGCACGTGTGGTTTGGCAGATATTGTTAAATACCTGAGCCCCAGACTCCCTTCATCCTAATGAGGAAACCATACTTTACTGCCCCCACTGTGTGTGCTTCTCAAGAACTCAGACTCCTCCGGGTGAGGAATGTGTTTTTTGGGGGCTGTGACTAAATCTTCCAGTCTGCTGGCTCATCACCCCTGGCTTTTTAGCCAGGTGCTCAGATTTGGGGACAAGGGTGCAGAGAACAATGATCCATTAATATCACTCCTTTTTGGTCACTGAGCATGGAGTCACTGATCATTTGAACATTGATTTCCAGTTCACTATGTGTGTGTGTCACACAAAGTTTTTGTTACCATAGTTCAAATTCCCAAATCATTTCTTCATTTTGGACAATAAATTGTTAGGGGATGAACTCTGTAAATGCAGAGATTTTTGGAGAACTCCCACATGGCAGTCAGAGGCTCCTGCTGAGGCTCGAGTCTTGGTATTCCAGAGCGGACTCTGCCCTTTGGAAGATGTGGTGATTAATCCTGCCAGAGGGAGAAATTTCAGGTCATAGCCTGGGCCTGGCCCTCCAACTGGGTGCAGCTCCTGAGGACTCATCTCCACCGTATCTTGTCCTGGTTCCCCCGTCCCTTCCTGTTACCTCTCTGCTACCTTTGGTCTTCGTTGCTCTCCTCTGACTCAGGGTGACAGATATGCACTGCTCTTGGCGGTTCTGGTGTTCCCACGCAGCTGGGTGACATTTCCCAAACCACAGCTATGTGCAAGGGTGGCAGGGCCAGAACTGGAGCTCAGGTTGCTGTCCTCAGCTGGCCTCACTCAGCTTCACAAGGGCCTTTTGCAGGACCTTTCCTTTCCAACACTTTCATATACTTCTATTCCTAAAAGCTAGAGAGAGTTCAATTTAGCGGCCAAGACTATTGATTCGGGTACTTACACTTAAGGATCATAACAGTATGATACCTCTGTCCCCTTCTCTATAGAAACTAACAGAAAAGGACTGATTTCTTCCCACTTCTCCCTGGAGGCCAGGGGAATTTGTATCTTTGGTTCTAAAGTAACTGCAGAATTTTGGATTCTCTCCGGGAATCCTAGCTGTTCAATTAATGAGCCCCTCAGACACTTGGAGAAGACGTAGGTGTCTGGTCAGGGACTGCTGTCAGCCTGAGACTGTTGTCCAAGTCCCACATACCAGTGGCATGACTGGGTGACACATGCTTTCTGATTGTGCCCATTGAGTCCTCATACAGTAGTGGCACCTCAGTCCACCCAAGAGGCAGAGCACAGGGCTCTAGAGCAGTAGTCACTTAGTCATGGTAAGGAATAAGAGAAAGATAAAGACAACCAGAGGAAGACAGTAAGCCTCTGTGTCACACTACCTCGTGCTTAAGACGAGGGCTTTGGAGCTGGCATGTGGGGGTCTGAATCCCAGCTCTTCTGGCTGTGGGACCTTGGGCAGGTTGTTTAATCTCTCCCAGCCTTGGGTTTCCTCATCCGGGGGAGGTACATGATATCTCCCACTCAGAAGAATTATAAGGATTAAAGCAAGTAAGTTGTTTGCACAGTATTGCTGGTATAGTATTAAAAACAGAACACATTGTTTTTAAAGAGTAGAAAGATTTGGAGAAAGTTGTGAAGATGGATGTACTCAGGCACTAGCCACTAGCTTTCTAGGATATATGGAAGAATTTTTGCTTTCTATAAATAACAGTAAATCAAACCTCACCAACCAAGGTATCCTAGTGACACAAATAGAAACATTTTCCATGTTCTATGCCATTCACAGAGTAACCACTCATATGAGCCATTCTCTGGTCCCATTACCACTGTCAGCAGACCACAAGATGAAGAAGCCATTTGTCTTCACCATGCCCATGGGATTAGCCACAAAATAGTCCCCAGAAACATTTTATTCCCCACCACAAATAATCAACCTTTGCTTTACCATTCCATATGAACAGTCTCTATAATTTTATGTATTGTTCCAGAGCAGAGTGTGGAATAATTAGATTCATCTCTCAGATTTCATAAATTAATGTGAAAATATCATCTAACTTTGGTAAACAAAGCTTCTGTCATTTAATTTATCCATCTGCCCATACAATGGATGAGACTGAGTATCTGCTATTCCTACATAACTCTGGGAACATAGTGAGTGCTCAAAATGTAGTTTTAGTCATTATTTTTACAGTGGTTGTCATTGTTAGTGTGCTAATCAGTAACAATTATTAGCATAGTAATTAAACATTTCACTGTTTTTATATGTAAATTACAGTTAAGTCCTCAGAGGATGTATTCTTTTTTTTAGCATGAGCCTTTATATCCAAAGTGATTTTTACCATTTGGATTCTAAAATTGTTTCTGTTCTTTTTTAATGAAGAGTATCAGCCACATCAGGAAAAATTACAATGTGGCCTTATATAATATTGGGTTGTTGGAAAAGTCATGACACATTTTTGCATAGAAGAAATATATCATGATTTTTCTGACAACCTAGGATAAAAGAATATAACGTGGAAAAGAAGAATAAAAAAAAAATGAACAAAACCTAACTGGTTCCCCTACACTAGGTCAGCTACTCAAAATCCAAACCTGGGTATTTGCTAAATGGCTGAGTAGAAACCACAGATTATTTGAAGGAATTAGCACATGAAGTAAATTTCAAATTAGTTTCTTCCAAATCATAATTTGGAGTTCTAGGCCTGCCCAAATTTACAAATCCCAAAGGTGAAGATCATGGATGGCCTCAGTGCCTTGATAGCCAAGGCTTCACCAGAAATATTTTTGAAGTCAATTCATTAAATATAAACCAAATGTATTGGATTCTAAAGTATATGTTTGTTTTAATGGACATGGAGGAAGTGGGGGAAACTTTTTTTTTGGGAGAGTTTTTTGGTTTTTTTTGTTTTTTTTGAGAGGTTTTTGTTATAGGGCAAGTGCGCTCTCCAGACAGAGAGAGACAGAGAGACAGAAAGTGAGAAGTCACCCCCCAGTGGGGATGGCCACGCTGCAATCCCTTCTCTTCCGTTCTCCTCTCCGGATCTTGGGCATGCACACACACGTGCCGGGCATGAGTTTTAAGCCACCGGGTCCGGGACGCGAACCGTGGTTGACTACATGGGAGTCCAGCGACATAGCCATTACGCTAACTGCTGGTCCTGGGGGAAACTTTTTTTAATACCACAAATTGTACCTATGAATATTGGCAAAAGGTGGTCAATCACCAAAGAGAATATTCTGCCTGCCTGGTGAGGCAGTCACAATTGGAAGGTAGTACCAGCTGAGGATCATGGGAGGTTCAGACAAACCCACAGTCCACACTCAGATGCTAATTCCGTAGAGAAAAGGTCACAACCCATGAATGTAGGCTTTGGGATGTTTTCTGTATCCAAATAGTACAAACCAATTAGAATATCTGGGCACAAAAACACCAACACCTTGCTCTGCAAAGAATGCACATCATCACTGGCAACTCTACCAGGTTTTCACAAAGGAGATGCATAGTCCATTTCTGCTGTGTTTTTATTCCTCTCATTATCTCTGCTCATATAGGGGTCAAGCAAGCACCCAAGCCATCAGGGGCTGGTAGAAATGTGTCAGTGGACTCCACCCACCTCACAAAAAAACCAGGTAAGGAATAAGGTGCTGACTCCACTGGGGCAACTCAGCTCTGAAACTTAACAGTAACTGCAGGGTCAACTGTTGCAGCAAACACAGCAACATCTACACAGCCACCCATGCTAACAGTATGTGGGTGCTGCTAAAGAAATACTCCACAATGTTATCTTTGGCGGGGATGAAGAGTGCTCTGAGCACAAATTAAATATTACTAAAAACACTTAGTGGGATATCAATTTAATAATTACTTGCTATAATGCTTGGAGGGGCCACAATGGATGAATGCTGCAGGGTAATCATGGGTTCTAGTTTGTATCGTGTTGAAATTTTGCTCTTGTGTGATTCATTATAATAATCCTTTGCGTGAATTAATTTATGTTCTGACTTAGGAGTAGGCTTTTTGTAACAGACCAAAATTATGAAGCTGGCAAGTCAAAATATATTTGCATTGAATAAGGATTCTGCCTTTTTTTTTTTTTTTGGAGAGGTTTTTGCTATAGGGTGCTATAGGGCACGTGCACTCGCCAGACAGACAGAGAGAGATATAGAGACAGAAAGTGAGAAATCACCCCCCAGGGGGGATGGTCACGCCGCACTCCCTTCTCCTCCATTCTCCTCTCGGGATCTTGGGCATGCACGCACACGCGCCCGGCGTGAGTTTTAAGCCACCGGGTCCAGGACGCGAACCACGGTCGACTACGTGGGAGTCCAGCGACATAGCCATTACGCTAACTGCTGGTTCCCGGATTCTGCCTTTTAAAAGGGTTTCATGAGACCTAGTCTGGTAAATTAATGTCTCAAAAACCACCACTCTCATAATACACACACACACACACACACACACACACACACAGTCTTTCTCTTTTTCTTCTGAGCATCCCAGGAAGTACTTAAAGGCACAGGGCATTTTCCTGAATTGACAATTTTACTTGAACATTTAAAAACTCACATATATTATTCAAAGAAAGGGATATATGTTACGTATAACACAAGACTTAAAATTTGGGTTAAGGTAGGATGCTCAAGCACCTTTACCCCTGCCAACCTTTGTCCAAAGTAAACAACCTTTGAGCAAATTAGTACCTCTTTCTTTGAATAATATTTTTTTACAATGTGCCCTTCCTCTGGGCTGGCTGCCTTAACCCAGAGCTAACGGGGGGGTGAGCAGAGTGCTAAACTTGGGCTCCCACTTGCACCTCCTTGGCCAGCAGTCTCTGTGCAGTGTATAACCACTATGATTGTTCATAGTGGCCGCTTTCCAGAGGCACAGGCTTGTCGTCTCTACCATCAGTGTTACATTGAGGCACTCATCCGAGAAGTTCTGTAGGTGTTTGTTTCATTATAATTATGTAGTAGCATTGGAGATAGAACAGAACAACCACAAAAGGAGAAATCATATGCTTTAACAATTTAAAATTTGAGTGGTGTAAGAAATTGTAGAGAAAAGGTACTATTAAAAGGACAAAATAGAGGGACCAGCAGCTGGCATAATGGCTATGTCACTGGACTCCCATGTAGACTACCACGGTTCGAGTCCTGGATCCAGTGGCTTAAACTCACACCAGGTGCATGGGCATGCATGCCTAAGATCTCGAGAGGAGAAGGGATTGCGGCATGATTTCTCGCTTTCTGTCTCTCTGTCTCTCTGTCTTTCTGGAAAGCACATGTACCCTATAGCAAAACAATCTCAAAAAAGAAAAAAAGAAGAAGAAAAGAAATTGTAGTCTCAAAATCAAAGGCAATTGGGGGCAGTGACATTCAGAAATGTTGTTGCTAAGTCTATGTAAAAAGATAGCCAATTCTAGGGACTAGCAGTTAGCATAATGGCTATGTTGCTGGACTCCCATGTAGTCAACCGCGGTTCTCATCCTGGACCCGGTGGCTTAAAACTCACGCCGGGCA